GGAGGACCCCACAGGGACACGGCGTTCCCATTGGAGCATGGGGGACCCTCAGGGGGATAGCAGAGGTGTGGGGACCCCAGAGGGGTGTGGAGATCTCTTGGGGGCATGGGTGGGATATAGAGGGACCCCACAGGTACCTGGGGACCCTGCAGGGACATGGGAGTACCAGAGGGGTATGCAGATCCCATGGGGACCCCATGGGGACCCCATTGCCTCCCCATCCCCAGCAAAGCCCCTTTCCCCCACCAGCAGAGCCAGAGGAGCCCCCCAGCCCCCCTGCAGCCCCCCACAGCCCCCCTGCCTGGCCCGGTGACTGAAGGGGACTATGGCGAGGGCTTCGAGCCACCCGACTACGATGACCGTGAGTGACGACCCGGGAGGGATGGGGCACCCCAGGATCCCCCATCACCCCTGGAGGGGTGTCCCAGCCCCCACCCTGTGCCCCCCAGTGACCTATGGGCTGCCCCCGCCACCAAAGCCCCGCAAACATCCGGACAAGAGTGACGAGATGGAGACAGACGAGGAGAAAATCAGACCCTGTGAGAGGGGGCAAGGGTGGTTGGAGGGATGGGCAAGGGCCCGGTGGGCCCATGTGGCGTGTCCCCAGGGTTGGTGGCAGAGCCACAGGGAGGGTGGCATGTCCCTGGGCTGGGTGTCCCATCCCCAGGGTGGGTGGCACATCACTGGGGTGGGTGGCACATCACCAGGGAGGGTGGCATGTCCCTGGGGAGGGTGGCATGCCCCCGCAGTGGGCGTCACATCCCCAGGGGGGGTGGCACGTTCCTGGGACTGGTGGCACATCCCTGGGGTGGATGTCACGTCCCTGGGGTGGGTGTCACCTCCCCAACAGCAAAGCCCAAGAAAGGCAGCAGCAGCAAGGAGGAGGAGGAGGAGGAGGAGTCCTGGGCAGAGGAGAAGGGCCAGGACCGCAAAGGTGGGTGCCAGTCCCCATCCCTGTCCCCCCCACTCCCGTCTCCATCCCTGCCCCCTCACTGGGCCCCTTTCCCAGGAAAAAGCAAAAAACCAGGAGGGAAAAAGTGGGATCCAGATGAGGAATGGACCCCTCCGGCGGAGAAGACAAGTGAGTGTCCCCCTTTCCAGGACTAACGGGGACACCCCGCTGTGGGGGGAATGCCCATCACTCCCCCTGCCCCTGCTGTCCCCAGGATGTCCCCCGATCGGGCTGGAGTCCCACCGCATCGAGGACGACCAGATCCTGGCCTCCTCCATGCTGCGCCACGGGCTGGGCGCCCAGCGCGGCCGCCTCAACATGCAGGTGAGGGTCACCCCTCACACCGCGCCGGGGTGACAGTGACACCCCCACACACGTCCCGCTTGCTGTCCCCCCCCAGGCGGGCACCAACGAGGACGATTTCTTCGACGGGGCGTGGTGTGCCGAGGACGACAGCCGGGCGCACTGGCTCGAGGTGGACACGCGCCGCATCACCATGTTCACCGGCGTCATCACCCAGGGCCGCGACTCCCAGATCCAGTACGGGAACGGGAGGTCGAGCTGGGGACACAGGCTGGGGGAGCGGGAGACCCAACCTGTCCCTGTCCCCTTGCAGTGATGACTTTGTCACCAGCTTCTACGTGGGCTTCAGCAACGACAGCCAGCACTGGGTGATGTACAGCAATGGCTACGAGGAGATGGTGGGGACCCCAGACCAGGCTTGGGGGGGGGCACGGGGACAACGGGGACCCTCTCGAGTACATCTCCCCCTCCTTGGCAGATGTTTTACGGCAATGTGGACAAGGACACTCCAGTGCTGAGCGAGTTCCCCGAGCCAATGGTGGCCCGATACATCCGCATCTACCCCCAGCGCTGGAATGGGAGCCTCTGCCTGCGCCTCGAGGTCCTGGGGTGCCCTCTTTCCGGTAACAGTCACTCCGAAGCAGCCTGGGGGGCTATGGGGGGGTGGTAGCTCCCCAGCTGTCCCCCACCACCATGTCCCTGACCCCTCCACAGCCGTCAGCAGCTACTACACCCAGCAGAATGAGGTGACCTCCACGGACAACCTGGACTTTCGACACCACTCCTACAAGGACATGAGACAGGTGGGCACTACTGGGGGGCAGATCCACCGGGGGGTGGGATCCTCTGTGGGGGGTGGGACACTCTGTGGAGTGAACACATCCATGGGCTGGGATCCTCCATGGGGTGACCGTGGGATCCTCTGTGGGGGTTGGATCCTCCATGGGGGTGGGCACCTCCTTGGGGGTGGGCAGCTTGATGGGGGATGGGATCCTCCATGGGGGTGGGATCCTCTGTGGGGGGTGGGTTTATCCCCCCAAGCGCTGCCCCATCTCCCCCTGCCCTGCAGCTGATGAAGGTGGTGAACGAGGAGTGTCCCACCATCACCCGCATCTACAACATCGGCAAGAGCTCACGGGGGCTGAAGATTTACGCCATGGAGATCTCTGACAACCCGGGCGAGCATGAGACAGGTGGAGGGGGTGTGAGGGGTGCAGGGGGCCCCAGCTGTGGTCCCTGGCATTCACTGACCCTGCCCACACCCTGCCCCAGGTGAGCCCGAGTTCCGGTACACGGCGGGGCTGCACGGGAACGAGGCTCTGGGCCGGGAGCTGCTGCTGCTGCTGATGCAGTTCCTGTGCAAGGAGTACCAGGACGGGAACCCCCGTGTGCGGGGCCTGGTCACTGACACCCGCATCCACCTCGTCCCCTCCCTCAACCCTGACGGCTACGAGCTGGCCCGCGAGGCGGTGAGGGGACAGCGGGGTGGGATGGGATGTGGGGTGGTGGCACGGGCTGTGGAGCAGTGGGGTAGGATGAGGGGTGGTGGGATGGGATGTGGTGCAGTGGGATGAGATGGCAAAGTGGTAGGATGCAGCCCTCCCCTTGCAGCTCACTGCTGCCCTGGGCTGGTGGCAGGGCTCCAAGCCGGGCAACTGGAATGTCAGGGCAGGGGATGAGACCTGGAATGGTGGGATGGGATGGCAGAGTGGTGGAACGGAACAGGATGGCGGAGCAGGGGATGGGATGTGGATGGTAGGATGCAGCCCTTCTTGGGCTTACTGCTGTCCTGGGCCATCCACAGGGCTCTGAACTGGGCAACTGGGCGCTGGGCCATTGGACAGAGGAGGGCTTCGACCTCTTTGAGAACTTTCCCGACCTGGCCTCGGCACTGTGGGCGGCAGAGGAGAGGCGGCTGGTGCCCCACCAGTTCCCCAATCACCACATCCCCATCCCGGAGCACTACCTGGCTGAGGATGCGGCAGTGAGCACGGAGGGGGATGCCGAGGTGGGACAGGGAAGGGGAGGAGGTGACAGGGGGGTGACACTTCCCACCCTGTGTCCACCTCACAGGTGGCGGTGGAGACGCGGGCTGTCATGGCATGGATGGACAAGAACCCCTTCGTGCTGGGAGCCAACCTGCAGGGCGGGGAGAAGCTGGTGTCCTTCCCCTTCGACACAGCCCGGCCCAGCCCCCCGACGCCCGCGGCCGCCCCGCGCCCACTGGACTATGAGGACGAGCACCCCGAGCTGCAGGAGACGCCCGACCACGCCGTGTTCCGCTGGCTCGCCATCTCCTACGCCTCGGCACACCTCACCATGACCGAGACCTTCCGCGGGGGCTGCCACACGCAGGACGTGACCGACGCCATGGGCATCGTGCAGGGCGCCAAGTGGCACCCCCGGGCTGGCAGTGAGTCAGGGCTGTGGGGCAGCTGCCCTGTGACCCTCCCGCAGGCAGGTGAGCGAGCGGCTGGCTGGGCACATGTCCGTGTCTTGCAGGCATGAACGACTTCAGCTACCTGCACACCAACTGCCTGGAGCTCTCTGTCTACCTGGGCTGCGACAAGTTCCCCCACGAGAGTGAGCTGCAGCAGGAGTGGGAGAACAACAAGGAGTCGCTGCTCACCTTCATGGAGCAGGTACGTGCTGGGACACGGTCACGGCCGCCCCACTTGCCCCACACGGTTTCACTCATCCCCTTTCCTCACTCAGGTCCATCGTGGAATCAAGGGCATAGTGACGGACCAGCAGGGAGAGCCCATTGCCAACGCCACCATTGTGGTGGGGGGCATCAACCACAACATCAAAACAGGTAGGGGCCTGTGAACTGTGGGCAGGCTGGTGGCAGCCCCGTGCCACCAATGTCCCACCCGGCTGCCCTCTGTACCCACAGCCAGCGGTGGGGACTACTGGCGCATCCTGAACCCGGGCGAGTACCGCGTGTCGGCGCGGGCCGAGGGCTACAACCCCAGCGTCAAGACCTGCCACGTCCTCTACGACATCGGGGCCACCCAGTGCAATTTTGTCCTGTCCCGCTCCAACTGGAAGCGCATCCGGGAGATCATGGCCATGAACGGGAACCGGCCGATCCGCCTCGTGGTGCCGGGCCGGCCCATGACGCCCCGCGAGCGCCTGCGCCTGCGGATGCGCCTGCGGCACCGCATGCGGCTGCGGGAGCAGATGCGGCTGCGGCGCCTCAACGCCACCACGGCCACCAGCGGCCCCACAGCCCCACCTGCCACCACTGCCCTGCCCTTCCCCTTCAGCAGCACAGCCTACACGCCCTGGAGCCAGGAGCCGCCCACAGCCGGCACCTGGGAGATGGACACCGAGACAGAGGTGGTCACCGAGCTGGTGACAGAGACGGAGGGCTGGGAGCTGGGCACGGGGACAGTGCAGCCTTTCACCACAGCCGAGACCTACACAGTGAACTTCGGGGACTAGGGATGCTCAGGCCTTCACTCTGTTTCAAGCCACGGTCGGATGTCCCAGTATCCACTTCCAACACCTTCCCTTAGCCTGGGGCAGCTGCTCCCAGTGGGCTCCAGCCCCTCACCTTGCTGCTTCCCCGACTGAGGGCATTTGCCTTCACAGCTGAGCGCTGTCAGGGACATGCTACCCCATCCCTCAGGGCTGGGCAGTGCCAGCTCACTCTCCCTGTCCCAGTGGCATGGCAGGGGTGGTCCCGCTCTCCAGGGCAGGGCCCACAGAGGCGGGCACAGCCCCTCTCCCATCCACACAGTTTTTGTTACACAAATAAATCAAGTTATATTGGTACAAGCATCTTGTCCCTCTGGTGCCCCCCCAGTTCCGTGCCACCCTCCCAGAGGACAGACAAGGGTGGTGGGTGCCAGGACCCCCTGAGGGGCAGGGGCAATGGAGTCCATGTCCTCCTTGCGGTCAGTGTCCAACTTCCATGTCCCCGTCCCCGTCCTCGTCCCCAAAGCCAGAGAAGGTGATGGGCTGGCAGGTGAGGTCATGCAGGTTGACCAGGCAGGCGGTCTGTGTGGTGCTGAAGTCGGGCACCGTCACCAGCAGCACCCGCTGCCCCTCTGCCCCTGTGAACACAGGTGGGTGTCACGGGGAGGAGCCCCCCCAGCAGCTCCCAGCCCTCCACAGGGATCTGCAGGACCCACCTTGGAGCAGTTTGGACTGGAAGCGGGGCGCGTTCCCACAGAAGTAGACGTGAGGGCACTCAGTGAGGATGAAGGGGTCTGATTTGTAGAACGGGTAACAGCCTGGGGGGGGATGAGAATTAGGGGGGGAACCTGCACCCCTTGGAGGGTAACCCCCTGCCCGAGCCAACAGCCCCCAAGCCCCTGCTGTACCTAGGGTGTCTGGGGCTGTGGGGCTGATGTGTCCTGCCAGCAGTGTCCACTCCAAGATCTCCAGGTAGTCATCCATGCTGCTGTATTTGAAGATGTCACTGACATTTTGTCCTGATGTCCCCAAAAACCTGTATTTTTGGGGTAAGAAGGGGAGACTGGATGCTGGACATGCCAGGACATGTTATGCAGTGCTGTGCTGCTGACAGCTGTCACCAGAGCTGGTGGCACACCAGCTTTGTTTACCTGACACCGTCCAGGTCGGCCTGGTAGGGGTTGGTGACGAGGTGCAGCGTGGTGTAGGGGCTGGCCAGGGGCAGCATGCAGCGGTGCAGGGGCTGCTGTGGTAGTGTGTAGTTGGTGGGGTCAAACTCCCCAGGCATCACATCCACGGGCACTGAGGTCTGCGGGCAGAGCAGGGATCAACAGGGCAGTCAAAATGCCCTCTGAGGGGGCTCAGAGCGTTGCTGTCACTCCTGCCCCTTTCCCACAGGACTTGGCTTCACCACAGAGGGCAGATCCTGAGAGAAGGATCTGGAGCTGTGTTTTGTGCTGCCTCTCTCTATAGGGTGCTCAAAGGGAAGGTGGGTGCGGGAGAAGGGGGTTTGCCACCCCACACCCTGGGCTGATAGCAGTGCTGCTCCCCTGCCTCAGGAACTAGGATCTCTCACCCGAAAGGAACGCGATTCCCAGGCCAACCCCAAGCACTTACGCAGAGCTGCAGCAGGATCTCATCCAGCATCTTCACGGCCTCCACGCTCGCTGCCTGAGTCTTCTTGGTCAAGTACTTGGCCTGGGTGAGCAGGGAGACAGTGAAGAATGATCCCTTGTCCCCTCTGCCCCCTTCCCACATCATCCCAGCACCTCTGGAGCTCTGTGGCCCCCCCTCCCCGCTGTACCTTGTTGATGGTGTCCCGGCTCTGCGTGTTCTGGCTCAGCAGGTTCCCGGCCAGGATGACTCGGGAGATGTGGGCAGCACAGCTCTGCTCGCCCTCGGCACCCAGCTGCCCTGTCACCACGTCCACCAGCAGCTGGGTGCTCAGCAGGGCCTCCCCACTGCCACTGCCCAGCCCCAGCCCTGAGGCCAGCAGCACGAACCTGGGTGGATGGAGAGGCTCGGGCAGCGTGCCATGCTCCCAAACCTTCAGAGAGCCAGGGCGGGGGGCACAACCCCCTGCAGCAGCCCTATTGGCATGTGGGGCTCAGGGACAGGGCAGGGACACAGTGCCAGCCCCGCTCCTGCTGACTCACCGGTCAGAGCTGGGCCCGTTCCAGGGCAGGGGTGGTGGCAGGTCAGCAAAGCAGTGATCCTCGACCAGGAACCTGCCATCATCCTGCTCGGAGCCGTACACGGCCACGATGGTCCCTGCGGCAGAGTGGGCGCTCAGCCCTGGTCAGCACCCATGGGGTGGGTCCCACTGTGGAGCCACAGCCCACCCTTACCTGTCACCAGCCTCTGCACATCGATGGCTCCTTCCAGCTTAATCCGCTGCAGCTCATCCTCCAGGATCAGCTCGTCTGAGGGCTGGATGTACTTGGGCAGGGGCGGCTGAGGCACCAGGTTGTGCTGCAGAGTGGGCAGGGACAGCTTTGACGGCCTTTTCCTGCCCCAGGCCCCCAGCACCAGCATGGCCAACACCCCAGCTGGAGGCCCTGGCAGCTGGAACCCCCCGGATGGGCTGGTTTCACTCAGTGCTTCCGACCAGAGTCCTGAACATGAGCCTCATCCAAGGAGAAAGCGGCTCTGATGGGCAGTGGGAGCTTTAAACTTCCCAACATGAGCTGGCTGGGAGGAGACAGGCCCCTGGCATTGCATGGGGATGCCAGAGCTTCCCTGACACCCCCTTCATCCCCCTCCCCTGTGGCAGGGAAAGGAGGTTGTGTTGCCAACCCAAGGGCTGGAAAATCATCCCTGAGTGAGGGTGGTGGCAAGCAGGGGGAAACAGCTTCAGATGGACAAAGGGTGGATGTGGATTTAGACACGGGCAAGGAATTCTTCCCTGTGAGGATGGGACGCAGCAGGTACAGCCCACCCACCCAGCTCCAATCTGTGCCAGTTCCCTGGCTGCAGTGAGCACAGGGAAGCCACGAGCCCCCACGTGTGCTGGAACACCCCCCGAGCTGTGGGGGGGGGTGCCCCCAGTTACCTCCTCGCTGATCTCCTGCAGGATGGAGGGCTGGAGCTGCATGGACTTGAAGAGCGTCCCCACCACGCAGCACTTCTCCCCCGCCCGCAGCTCCGACAGCTTCCGCAGCTCCACATCGCTCCCTGCGGGGACAGGGGGGGTCAGTGGCCCGGGGGTGATGGTGAGCAGGGCAGGGGGAGCATCTGGAGTGGCCCCAGCCTCGAGGCCAGTGAGAGGCAGCGGGAATGCTGGGAAGCCTCCTGCTTTTCCTCGAGGCACGGCACCGAGAGGACATGTGTGGGCCAGATGGGGCCAAGGAGCATTCCAGAGCCTGCAGGCATTTCCTCTACACTGGCGGGGGGAGCTGGGGACAGGGGCTGGGAGACCCACAGCTCCCTGGAACAGTGTGTTTAGGTCCCAGTGACAGCTCTACCCAGGGAGGGTCCGGGACGCTCCTGCCCTTGGGCATGGGGGGCTGGTGCTCCTGCTCCCCATCCAGGACATGATCCAAACATCCTCCTTGGAGTTTGGCCAGGCAGATCACTCACCACCCCCCAAACCTGACCTCTGCCAAGGCCAGATCCTCCATGCCAGATCCCTGCTGGAATTCAGGATCCCCATCACAGCCAGGGAAGATCCTGGCATGCTGACAGGACCCTGGGCTTTAGGCAGGGATCCACAGGGGATCCAGGCTGGGGGAACCAGCACTAGCTTGGGGAGCTGCAAGGAGCTCTGTGGCTGAGGAGCAAAAATCTCCCTCACCACAAGCTGAGCCCAAAATTTGTCACCTCCACCCCTGGGGACTCAGAGATGTCTCAGCCCCATCTGGTATGTGGATGTGGGACTGTCATTACAAGTTTAAACCATCTCAAGTCGGGCTCTGGACAGGGGGAACTCCTGGGCTCCTCTCCCAAAACAACACTGCCCGTGCTGGCTCCCCATCCTTTCTGGGTGACATTTCCCCTCCCAAAAATCTTCCTTTGCCCATCACGTGCTGCTGAACATGACTCCTGTCCTGGGGAGAGCACCCCGCCGCCAGCCCTGGCACCCCAGGCTGGAAACACGGATTCCCGAGCCCAGGAATGTAAGCACTCCGAGTCGGAAGAAAAACAATCCCACTGCAAGTTTCTTATTCTTGGCTTGGACCCCCCATAATGTGTGTTCAGGGGGAGGAAGGCTGCGCTCTCCTGATTTCTGCCTGCAGGCGCTTCCTGCTTGGAGACAACCCCCCGAAATCTGCTCCCATACCAGGGCTGCGGGAGGGGGAGCTTTACAAACCCCTGGGTCCTGTCACGCTTGGCAAGGGCCAAGGAACCACATCTGCTGTCAGAGCAGCGCTGGCTTTGCCTCCCCTTGGCTCCCCGGGAACGGGGAGAGCAGCAGAGCAGGAGTCCGGCCCAAAAGCCTCCACTAAAAGGGTTTTTGCCCATAGAAGGGCAAAGCTGAGGGAAATTCGATCTGACCGTGCCCAGGCCAGGAGGTGGGGGGGGGGCAGAACCGCGGCATTGCCTCATCCCACAGACGGAAACTCCAAGCACGAGGGTCCCACCCACGGACCACAACCCCCACCCGGCCGGGAAATGGCCCCTGCAAAACCAGCCCTTCTCACCCAGCTGCTCCCCCCGTGCCCCACTTCCTGGCCAGGGCCCACCAGCCCCACCCAGACAAACCTCACACTCAACTCCTGCTCCCAAAAGTGCCCAAAACAGAGCCAGGGCCCCCATGCACACACCCCCTTCTATCTGTGATGGGGAATGTGGTTCATCCCAACTCCAGGTGGGAGCTGCAGCGGGAAGTCTGTGGGTGATCCCATCACTGCTGTGGATCCCAGAGCTGGGGGGCTGAGCTGTTTGGGGTGGCCTCTGCCAACAGGTTCCCTGCCAAGAGTGTAAAATGCTGCTGGGG